GAAAAATATAATTTCGAAAATAAAAAAGAACATAAATTGAATTGAGGAACACGAGCAGAGGGTGATAAAAGAACAAAGGAGAGGGGCTTTTGCTCCTTGCTTTCTATCATTTTTGTCTTTTATGTTTTCATTGGTATTTATAAATAATGTAGTTGAAAGTTGTTAATTCTCTATTTCATTTTGCAGTGGACACTTCTTCGAGAGTTGATATTCCCTCTGTCCCATTGTAATTGTCATATTTTCCTTGAGTTGTTAACAAAATCATATTTTTATCACAATATTTCACTGTATTATACACAAATTTCACTACATCTTTTACTTTTTCAATTACTTTATTAATAATTGTATCAAATGAAAGCGAAACACATAAAATAGGGTAGATGTATTACTATTAAACGATGAGCATTTGATAAACAGAATAACTTGTGTTCACCTCAAAAAATAGTATTGAACTATGAGCTTATAGTATTTTGATGAGCAACTTTTGTAATGCACATTAGAAATGGCAAGAATGTCCGCTTTGCGGAATAATACAATTCATATTTAAACTTTAGTTACAAATGTTTATTACTGAAGATTTGTACGTAACTAATAGTTCATTGGACCAAATGTGTTTCTCTTTGTTATAAAATAAATAAGTATATGTCGGTTCCAATTCTTCCGACAAAAGGGAAGAGACACACTTCTTCCTAAGGGTCCCCGCAACATCATTATATAGAGACTCAAATGAGAATCGGTCAATCCATCACAAAGGGATTTTGTATCCTTAGAGAATCTAACCATCAATAATGTCTTTATCATCTTCTAGAGCACCATTCAACGTTTGATTTCTCCTCAACCGGTTAATGTTCTTATTGTGCTTGATTCTCTAAATTTTATCATGTTTGATGAGATTAGATCATATTTTGACTAATTTCTCAACAAATTTTTCTCACTTTGCTAATGCTACTAATTTTATTGTGAAACTAGGAAAATAGGATCTGGCCCATTGTGCGTTTGCATTTTTATTTATTTACTTTTAGCTTCTCTTTATTATGAAGGAACACTAAATACTCTATTTTTAAATTAATGCAAGTGTTAACATCTCAAATGCTAAAAGTAATCATATTAAATCCCATTACAATATACATATTTCTCAATAAATAATACATTGGGCATGTTATTCAATCGCGCAGCGCGCGTGTTGAAAACTAGTACTAGATATAAAAGTAATGTTACTGGTCTAATTTAAAATCCGCAAATTGCAATTTAATGGAAGTAGTATTTTACTCCGTACAAATTAAATGTATGTTTAATTTTTTCATATTAGTCAAGTGTGCTCTCTGATCTCAAAGGTGACTCAACAACTTGAGGAGTGAACAAATAGGTTAATCACATTTCAAACAAGTTCCTCTAAGATGTGAGCCTCAAACAACCAAATCATGACCCTCATTGGTTTGAAAGGTGAGGATCAAATGAAAGGAAGAGGAGAATGCCTTATGGATTTGGGGGGGGGGGGGCTCAAAGGATGTCAATGTTGAGGAGCATCCTATGTTTGTGAATAAAAGGTAAAGTGAATTTATGTCCATTAAATTGACTTAGATTGGTTTGTGTAGCTATATATAAATTGCAATGTAATTTTGCATTGTAGTCGACGTTGCATTGATTTGTCGTTTTAATATGTTGTTTTCAACATAAATATTTGGTACATATGAACATAGTTTTCTATCAAACAAATTAGAATCCATCAACTTTACTAGAATTGTATTATCTTCGTCTTTTTATTCGGATTCGTCATTGAGTCAAAATCCGGTGAAGTTCTGATTTCACCAATATAGTTCTGACCGGCCGATCGACTTGATCTACTCATAATGGATATTATAGTCCTTTTCTTTGTTTTGTCAATGTTTTTTGTGACTATTGAGACAACTTTAAACCTAATTGTTGGTTATGCAGCTATTGGAGGAGCGTGATATATTTTTTATTCCCCTCTCCATGAGAATAGTGTTCATATCAGGCTGGCTTGTCGGGAATTCCGTCAGCCTAACTCCATTTTTGGCCGAAAATAAAGTTTATGATCCAATTTATTTATTTATTAGCATCAACAATTAATTTCAACTTCACTTTTCACCTCTAAGAATTAGTGTTAATTTATCATAAAATCATATTTAAGCTCGAAAAGATTTATTTTCGAAATGTGCTCTAAGATCTATTTGAAATTTGCTCTATGGCGGCATGATATGTCAGTCTCTTGCAAGACTACTTTATACCTTATTCTTATATTGAATTGTGTCCTACATTCTAACAAACATGCAATATTTACTCTTATTAACATGGCGATAATACATCTACGTTCTTGTAATATTACGCTTATTTGCATGTTGCACTAATACTGAATTCGATAAATATGGAAGATGTAAAAAGATCTACTAACATTATGAGTTTTGATGAATTGTCAATGTCAACATATAAATTTCAAATTTTATTATTGAAGAGAACGTCACGGAAAAGTGACAACTAACGTGAAAGAAGGGGAGCGAAGTTGTGCATAATGAGGTCGCAACTAACAGTGAAGTTTTAAGTGAATATGTTTGTGTATCACTTCTCCTTGCACTCAATATCGAAGAAGAAAAAGAGAATAATACTAATAGTGCATGATACTTGTATATAGCAACAAGCTAATGGGGGCCCTAGCTCATCTCAGTTTCAACTCCAATTTACATCTTTAGAGATGATGTTTTAATATAGCTCGCAACAATCTATGCAAGTATTTTACCTCCAAGAAAATACGGAGTACTCAGTATCTCCCAAAATTATCTTTTATAACAAAATACTCCGTACGAAATAGCAAAACCCAACCGGCATAGAGCGAAATCCGGCCATCGCTAAGGGTATGTTTGGGAGTTTGAGGGGAGGGAAGGAGAAAACTTTGAAGGTGCGTTGTTGGAGGGAAAAACTCTGATGGATTTATAATTAAAAGGAAATAAGACTCAAATAGGACTAAAACAAAGGTTAGGAACGTAGATAGGAGTTACAACTTTTTAACTCCTAAATATGACTAATTTTTAATCAGAAGACAATAATACCCTGGGTCGTCAAATAGAGCGTGCTGCGTGCACCGCATAGATACCAGAGAGGGAACACACCAGGTGAGAGCACATCTCCGAGATGCGATGTGATGGCTGCCTGAGTCGTCACCGGATCGCTTCTCATCACCGACTCGCTGGTTCGTTTGTCACCGCCGGATCGAAGTTCGTCGCCGCCTCGCCGGAGAAGTTCCTGGAATCTATTATTTCAGTTCTCTTCCTTATCGTAGCATCCATATCTCAGAGGTCTAATACCAACCATGGTGGGGAGCGGTTCCTTGGCCGAATAACGGAGGAGGCACGGAGAAGCCAAATAAGATTGGGCGGGACAATTGCGTGGCATCGGCGGCAGGGCAGAGCTTGGGGCAAAAGAGATGATCGACGGTAGGGACGAGGTACAAGGCCGCACCAATGAAGATGTTCTAGATCTCTCCTCTTTTCTTTGTTTCCGTCGGGGCTCTTTCTTCTCTCTTACATCTCACCCGAAGCTGCTCTGTTTCTGCGTGTCTTCCCGTCTGTTTTTTAGCTTTCTTTAGTTGTCTGTGTTTTGTTTATGTTTCGGTCTAGTGGTCAACTTTTTGGTTTCCTATCCGGTTGCTTTTTGGTGTGTTTCTTGCTCTTTCTTTTGTATTTGAAATTTGCTTTTCCAAAATGTAATTTGGTTTTGTTTATTTTTATTGTAATTACTCTTCAATACATTTCTATATGTTATAATACATTTTCAACAATGTTTTTCCTATAGAAACCTGCAATTTTTTTATAGCAATGTCATTGTCTTTCAGAATGTTGACATTTTCATGTCAGTCATCGATATCGGTATTGACATTGACAGTATTACAATGTCGTTGTTCTAGCATTGTCATTGCCATTATTTGACATTGTGAAATTATCTTGTGACTTTTTTTTTATAAGATTGACATTGTCACATTGTCATTATTACAATATCATTTTATAGCATCGATATGACAGTGATGACATTGTCATTGTTTAACATTGTGACATTTTTCGTACTTGGTGACATTTTTATAACATTGTCATTGTCATTATAACATTGACACTGACATTGACAATTTCATTATTACAATGTCAATTTTGTAATGTTGACATTGACATTATGACATTTCTATGATGTTGTAACATTTTTTATGACATTATATAATATAGTCAATATTTTTTTCATTAAAAATTAAACAATGTACATCATAATTTTTTATTACTCTAAGTCTCTAACATTGTTTTTAACATTGTATTTTTATAAAATTAAATTGAAATTGTCATTATTTGATATTGTAATATTTTTTCTGACATTGATATTTTTAAAGATTGACTTTATATTCTAAACATTGTCAAAATATAGAAAAATGTCATAATGTAAATAATGACAATGTCAATGCTATAAAAAATGACATTGTGGAGATAACAATGTCAATGTCGTTGTTAATGACTATCGTGACAATGTCATTGTCAAAATTAAATATCAAATTGTTCAACATCGTCATTATAAAATATTGCCAAAATAAATAATGTTATAGTTTTTGAAAAAATTATTAAATTGCAATAAAAACATCACAATGGCAAAAAATGTTCTAAATTCAATGTTATAAAATGTGACATTGTAATAGTAACAATATCAATGTCAATGTTATGCAAAGTGACATTGTAATACTGACAATGTCAATGGATATTAAATGCAAATGATCAAATATCATAACAATGTAGCATATATATGAACTATAATGATGCCATTGTCTAAAATTTAATATTATTGTGTGAAACATGTCAAAGTGCTAACAATAACAATATGAATGTGATTATAAAGTGACATTGTAATAGTGATATATCAATACAAATATCAATTAATGTTGTTACATTGAACCGAGTGGAATCAACTGTTCTAATCAGCCACTTTGCACATCTCAACTTGTATTGAGGTGTTGAAAATAATATCAATATTAGTAAAAATGTACTGTTATACTATTAAAATCATTTAACAATATTACAATGTCAATATCATGTAATAACAAATGACAATCCAATGACGTTGTGACAATAACAATTCAATTACTCCCAGTGGAGTACATTTGAATAACCTAACAGTGACAGCCCCAATTAACTAAAAATAAACAAGGAATAAAACGTGGAGTTACAATACGAAAAAGGAATTAGACAAAAAACCAAAACAAGAGTAAACAAGGAATAAAAAACTAAACTAAACCCAGTGGAATCACGTGGAATAACCAGATCGGCCAAAAAGAAGCAACCAAAGAAAAGAAGAAGAAAAGTGCAATTTCGATGCACTAAAACGAACCAAAAAAGCTCGGTGGAAAAAACAAATTGCAGATCTGGGTGCAACAACAAGGAAGAAAAATAAGGGAGAGCGAAAGGAGGAGGAGGGCTCCGGCCGCCGCTGCCTTGTCTCCATCTTGCTGTCGCCGCCGCCGTGTCAGATTGTCGTTGTCGCCGCCGTGTCAGATTGTCGTCGTCGCCGCCGTGTCAGATTGTCATCGCCGTCTCTATTTCACTCGTCGGAAGAGGAAATCAGGAGGTCCGAAGGTGTGACGGGGTGCCGTCCTTCCTTTCGTAGCTACAACAGCCGAGACCACCATCACTGATAGTCTGGTCCATGCCAGATCGAATTAAAGGAGAGGAGAAGGTACCTTGTTGCAATTCTATTTAGAAGAGATTAGACAGCGAGAGGATGCAAAAGAAAGGGACGGCCGACGGGTAGCCGCTACTATTAAATCAAGGGCAAAAGTGGTATTAAGTAAAATAGTAGCCGGTCCTATACGAGTATATAACTAAAGCTATGGTCCTACTTAAGACCATTTCTCTAATTAAAATTACTTTTAAATATGACAAATTCAAATAATTAAATTGATATTCATTTTAAATTGAACTTAAATTATTATTTCATTAATTACCTTTCAAAACCCTTCAAATTGGAGTAGTTAAAAATTGAACATTTGGAGGGTTTCGGAGGGCAATAAAAGCCCTCCAAAATCATCCCCTCCAATTTTTTAAACTTCCAAAAATGAAATTGAGGGTCATAAACCCCATCAACTTCCCCTCCCCTCCAAAACCTCACTTCCAAACACACCCCAAAGTAAAACAACGTAGGCCGACTATTGTACACCGGTTCAAGCTTTGGCCTGCATGTAAGTTTTCTCTAAGATAATTCTCTCTATAATGTCTAAGTAGCAGAGATGGGAGTTAAATCCAGACAAAAAGGGTACTCAAATGATTTAAGCAAGCCTCAATGGTCATTTAACTAAAGAACCGGATCGATCAAATTCATATAGGCAGTTGTTTGGAGCATACAATTAGGAGAAAAGTGTCAGTATGGTTCTTTAACTTGTCTTTAACTTGTCTCTCATAGCATAAAGAGTATATCATCATGCAATGGATACAACAAAGTACTTAAACTCGGTTTTTCTACGTTAATTGAGTACAGATTGAACTATCACTTTAAAAAAGATGAAATGGCAAGGATGAACCGTTAATTTTTACCTCATTTATCCCAGTCATCAAATATCCACTTTTATTAAGAGCAATACTTGATGTACCCCAAATCTGTACACAAAATGTACACTGCTTGTGTACACGGGCATTTGATAGAAAATTTTGTCTCTTTTCAAACGAATTGATGGTGTACACAGACAACTAGGGAGATGGGTACAAATTGGGGTACCTATAGCTTTGTGTTCTATTTAATCCTGATTACTTTTTAGGACTTTGCTACATCTCCTCTTATTTCTTCTTTTGCCTTTTCTCTTCTCCTGTGTTGGTCTTCTTTTTCCCTTCGATCTTATTCTTCTTTTTATCTTCTTCTAATTTTCATGCATGTGGCCTGTTTGCTTGTCTTTTGTTTGTCAAGCATTTACAATCTTCCATTTTTCTTTTGTCAAGGTTGTAAAAAGAGAAAGGGGCAGCTATCTAGCCGGAGTCACTTCGATTCATATGTCACAACTCACAAGGTCTCTATGGACAACGGGACAAGTGAATCATTTCTAGGAATCACAGGCAACCTTCTACCTTTTGCATGTTTCATTCCATCGTCTTGTATGGTTCCTGGATCAGCAAGCAAAGCAAATGAAAAAATACAACATTTTTCTCCTTGACCAAAGCAAGTATTTTGATTATGACTGTTTGCTATTCGTAAAATTGAACTCCCTCAAAAATCTCAGTACATTTTCTCCTTCCGGCTTTCCTCACTACCTCATAAATCATAATCATTCTGCTCCAACCCATTAAATTGCCAACGACTCGTAATCCCTGTACTCTTGATCGGGTAACTTCCATAGTTAGTTAAATACTGTACGAGAATTAAACGAGGTTTAATACGTACGCGTTTTATTCGGTAACACAAATGAATGAAACGGTTAAAAATTCGTTGAAAAATACGTTGACTTTTAAAAAACGTGTGAATACGTATATGTGTATAATACGGTATATGTTACAAAAATTCGGACAAAAAATACGGGGCATTATTTTGAACATTTAAAGTATATACTTCACAAAATAAGATATATAGTAAAAAGAAATAAAATTATACACATATTCAAGTAGCAAATCTCATTACCACATAAAAGAATAATTCGTCATTGCATAGGTCGATGACAAAAATAAAAATAGTAATTAAGTCCAAGGCATAATTTTGAAAAATAAAGTCAAAAAATGAGGCATCATGACTGTAGATGAGACTAAGTTAAAATCATTACCTTTATATGATCATCAAATAATACTCAAGATAAACTCATTATTTTATCAAGATGATGGAAGCATATGAGAAAAGTACATTGTATGACTGCTACGCTTATTATATAATAATACTCAAGTTAAACACATTATTGTTTATATGTAAAACGGTAAAGGTATATATACTAAAAATATGTCATGTTTAGAAAAACCTTAATTTGATATGCTTGATTGGGAAAACATCATAAATCTAGTAGTATTTGAAGTTTTGGTATTTAATTTTAGAAAACTAGCTTTAGCCGTCATGCAATTAATTTTAGTATTTAATAATTGGTTTGTAACAATAAAAATCACGCAGTCACGAGGAGGATATTTTCCTTTTCGCTTTTAAGCTATTGTTGATCTCCTATGCATTTTATGCACTTATTCAATTGATCAGTTCATGTTTCTATTTTTTTGTAAAATACGGAAAAAATACGTTTTATACGGGAAGTAGGAGTTTTTTCCTTTTTAAACGGACCGACATTATTTTTCGTTTTAAACGTGTTTTTTTGTTCAAAAAAACGGTACGTGTTTAAAACGCGTTTAAAACGGGAAAAAGCTAACTAGAGTAACTTCATTTGTTATTAATTAGAGATTGCCTTAATGAAATGGAACATATGAGTTGGACTTTTTTTGGCAGAGCAGCAATAAGTTTAAGCCACTAAGTAATCAAATTGACGTACTTTAAGGTATCTAACACAAAATAATACACTCTTTATGCTACGTGAGACAAATTAAGGTAGTATATTGACACTTTTTTCATTAAATAAGTTTTTTTAGTTAGTGGATGAACTTAGAATAATATAATTCTTATAAGGCGGATCTAAATTTGACTTGAGTCAACTGAAATTCAAGACAATCTGATTTTACAAAAAAAAAATGTTTTTTAATAACTTTTTCATCTTTTCCAACTCAACTCAAATTTCGGGCTCGGGCCCAACAAAACAGACCCGAGGCCCGGCCGGGCCTAGGCCCGAACCGGGCCCGAACCGGCCCGGGGCCATCCCTACTCCTATACTATGCATATTACTAGAATATTGTTTTTGTCTTCTTCTTTTTCAGATGGGAGTTTATATAAATATTAAAAAATTCGTGAATCTTAGCACCCCCATACTAGTAGTGGTGTCCATAGAAAGTTTCAATACTTTTTTAAAAACCTGCTATTTGGACCTTAACTCAGGCAGTCAGGCCGCGTACTTTACGTCGTAGTTCACTACTTCACACATAACATTGGCAGTTCTCCTTAGATGGATCATTGGCTATTAGGACTGGTCTGGGAAGATGACATTTGGGCATGAAGTCCATGAACTACAAGAACGCTTTTATTAGAGAGCCGAATGCATATGACTATATGAGGATATTCCTATTTTGGAAACCACTTCAGATTTGGGTCCACATAAAACTGCCAAGAAAGGTTATGAAGTAGAGGAAGCCTGTCCGAAAGTAGAATCCACAATGGAGTCTAACGACTAATATAGAGCCATATATAAGTGGCTTTGAGGAGTCATATATGATTCACTGTGGAGTCATAGATACGTGGTCTCGTGATAGTCAATCAAATGTAATTTGCCCCTCATGAAAAAATATTGTCAACTTATGATCTTACTATAGTAAATAATAATAAACATAAACTGTCATACAAGTTAAACTCGAAGATTGGCCGTGCAAACCATACAATGGCGCAATAAATATCACTTTTACGTGTACTGCTTCACATTGAATGCCGCTGCAAATTGCTGATTCAAAAGATGATCCCTTCCATACTTTGGCTAAGCTTCGTTTTTGGCAGGGGGATTGACCATTCGCAGGACAAACATTTTTGCAAGCAAATACATGGCACAATTCTATTATGATTGGAGTAGCTTCTTGTAATCCTGGAATGTTCCATCAAAGGGTGTCACCCTGCCATCTGATACGGCCCACAACTGCTCTACACTGCCCGATATTAGATGTTCATCGTGACTTACCTGCACACAAGAACAGATCACAAAATTACAAAGGCCAGCCCATTTCATCATACTTCAGCCACTTAAGGAAAGTGTGGGGTTATAAGGTCAGTATGGTCAATATACCATCAGAACACCTCCTTGGAACAAAACGAGTCCTTGTATTAGTGCCTCGACAGCATCCAGATCCTGCAAACTTTGTATTGTTATGCAAGGCGTAAATTGTATGTAAAAATACGAAAAGGAAGCTCCTGCTCTAAAGATAAATCGAGCCCCACTTGGTCATTGTCCAAATTTGGCCACACAATGATTGTCTCCCAGGATAGAAGGGGTTTTCATTCCCGAAGGACTCCGGCGAGCCAAATGATTCATGAACAGAAGCCGAGGAAGAGAGAACGGGAGAAGTGGACATTGGTGACTTTCGGATGCAGAGGCTTGGAAATGTAATGCTCTTTCAAGAGACACTAATCCAAAAGACACCTCTTTAAATAAAGGTGGTGTGACCTTTCTTTCAAAAAATTTATCCGAATTTCAAACGAAAAAAATATAATGTCTATCTTCAGCTCCAAAAAGACCAATATATTAAGTTATTAACGACTTTTGGGCCAACATGTATGGCCCAAAAGGCCCATCAAGAATGTCTTGTCATTCATCTCAATGATATCAATGCATTACAAAGATGAATATAAAGAATTCAAATGAAAGAGTTTTTTCGTTAAGTAATACTAAGTAGTAATTAATACCCCCATTTTGCAAAAAGATAATTTTTAGGTTTTAAGACATAAGTGTCACCAATGCAGTTAACAACTGTGAATTGACCAGAAACAACTGACCATTAACTGAGCTGGTGACATTTATGTTGTAAAAATAAAATAAAAAATGTGTTCTTGTTTAATGTTATTCAATTAGTATTATTTTAGGAATTTTTCCAAAATAAAATCCTTTTTTAAGGAAAATAATTAGTAAACGCCTGTCTCACAACTCATGAGATGAAGCAGTGTTGCCTCGTGCACATGAAGAGAACACACCCACCAGACTTCCAACCACAACTTTAAAAACAAATACAGCAAGAATCCAAGTCATAAGTAACGAAGTACCAAGTGATTTGATGGCTCGTCAAGAAGTAAAATGTGAGGCTTCTTGAAAGTGATTTTTGAAAATGCAACTCTGCTTTTCTGCCCCCCTGAAACCATTTAAAGCATCAGTTAAGCACAAAATGTAATTAAAAAAAAGTATTGTTGCAGTCATGCTTAGCGCTTGGGCTGTGAGAGAGACCCCGAGGCACAATATATACATATATACATCTTCATTGCCGAAATAGCCAGAAAAGGAGCATACCAGATAATGTATACATTGGTTGAAGGGCAAGATTTCCAGTGATACCAAAGGAACCTAGGTGAGAACGAAGTTTCTGTTCAGGTACACCCTGCAAGAAGCAAGAAGACAGAAAAGCTACGCATTAATAGATCCATTGGTAAGCTATATGTCCTCAAGTTATGAACTAAGATAATTATAAGATAAAAGATGACCCATAGTTACATTACCCGTCAAATATCTTTGTGACTCCACATCACCCAGTTATTAAGATAATTTAGACAAATGAAAGAACTACTAGAACTAAGAACTCTTTTTTAGTACACCAACATAAGATTTTATGATTGATCCTTTATCATATACACTAGAATCACAACCATCCTTCTACCTTTGTGTCAAGGCTTGAGATTTCCATACCACATAGAAAACCAGGATTAACAATTCAATTATAGTATGATGGTTGTTAAATGAATATGTGCAGTTGAGGGGCCCCAAAGGGCTTTCGCACAAGATGATGAGTATGTGTAGCCGAGTAGGTAACTAGGTAAATATGTATACATATGCAATAATGCAATGTGTGTGTATCTACACACACATGCATTCATATACAATGAGAGAAGTGTATAGACTATCACAGACTTACAGGGAAGCAGCGCATCATATAAAGCAAGGGATTTGAAGTCAGGTCTAATCCATCAACATGGTGCTGGCTAAATACAGCGATCCGTACCTATAAGAGTAGACATATGAAGTGCAAACCAATTAAATCAATGAAACATCAAGGGTAGGTTTTTCAAAGTTTATCCACTTTTAGTCTTTGTGACTATTGTGGTAATCACACTTTTACTGCCAGTCTTTGAACTTTTCAACTTTTAGTCTCCTCACTATTGTGAGAGTGACACTCATGGTCCTCCAACTATTGTGGCAAAATGCATAGATGAATATCAAAAGTGTCAATACTACAATAGTGACAGTACTAAAAGTGGAGCACCAAAAGTGTTCTCTGCCACAATAGTCAAAGTGAAGAAAGTTAAAGAAGGATGCCAAAAGTGTCATCGCCACAGTAGTCAGGACTAAAGTAGAAAAGGCTCTTGAAGCCTCGTGTTTGATACAATTAACACTTGGCATGTTAATCATTTCACAGTGAAACATCTCAAAAACACTAGCAATAATTAAATTGTAGTAAGAAAAGCTAGCACTAGACAGTTTTTAAATTATTAAATGAATACAGTGTGACCGAGTCGAAGCAAGACTGAGTATATGGAGTGCAAGTTTGGTGGAGGTAGCAGCATGGTAACAATGGAATTACCCTAGATGGTAAGGAGATACCACTCAGGGATATGTTCCATTACTTGATCTCTATAATTCAGAAGGACAGTGAGCTATGTGATCGAAGTCTGCCGACTAGACTGAAGGGTAAATTTTATCAAACAACAATTAGGCATGCATTACTATATGACGTATAGTGTTGGGCGGTGAAACAATGTCACATTCAAAAGATAAGTGCAGCAAAGATGTGCATGCTATGTTGGATATGTGGAATTGTGGACAGACTAGAAAAGACCGATTGAGGAATGAGACAATCAAACACAAGGTGGGAGTAACACCTATTGAAGATAAGATGTGGGGGTCTCGAGTACGGTGGTTTGGTTGGTCATGTACGTAGAAGACTGAGTGATGCACCTGCTAGACGAGCATGGATTAAAGGAGTCAGGTGTGGTATGCTTCTTCTTGGGTTGGATGAGAGTATGGGTTTGAAGAGCAAAATGGAGGGTGAATATTTGTGGAAGATTAATCTCTAGTCATCTTTTTTATCTTTTTATCTTCTTTATCTTTCTTATGTCTTTATCCTTTTATCCTTTTAATTATATATATACAAATTATACTATGAATATATATATATATATATATATTCTTCTTACCTTTTTTATCTTATCATGTTTATCTTTATCTTATATTTTTTTACTTTTTTATCTTACCTTATCTTTTTATCTTTCTTATCGTTGTTTTCTTTTTGCCTCCGATATCAATATATCATGTATCGATTCATATTAGTCAACCGCAAAATCTTTTGGGACCAAGGCTCAATATGGTTGTAATAAAGTATGACACACCTCACACAATACTACACTGAAGAAGGCAAGAAACCGCAGGTGGCAAATTTAATAAGAGAATTACAAGGTACCTTAGCAGAACGGAACACTGTTCCTGAGGTTGGTTGAAGATCACCGGAAATTAGTTTCAATATAGTTGACTTTCCAATTCCGTTTGGACCAACCACTGTAGAGAAGTATATAAAGAATTTTAACATATAAAAACTAGAAATATTTCAAAGATGAACATTTACTCTTACAAGAGTAAGAAAATTGGGCAAAATATATTTGAGCAATCATTTAAATGAACTTACTTGCAACGCGGCTGTCCAAATCAATTCCAAAATTTAAATTCTTGAACAATATTGGCCCCCCAGGATATCCAAAAGATGCATCACTGCAACGATTTTCAAGCCCGATGAACAAACAAGCCTCTGATTGATCAAATCACAACTATACTAGCATAGATATTGAAAGAAAAAAACAAACTAATCATTATAATATATGAGGGAGACTGGGAGCAACACATACAGGCTGGACTATACTTTACAGGTGGTGAAGTTGTGCCGGTAGAATGGCTTTTGCAAAGACAAGCTCAGACCACAGGAACACTAGAATGCTCTTTATTATTTAGAGGGATTTCAAGATCGAAAAAATGGAGGGAGAGTATATATGGATGAAAATTGAAGGTGAAAACTTGGGTAATTAGCCAGTATCCCAAATTGCAGATGGAAGACTGTTACCGGGGCAGTAGCTAAATGATGTGGTTACTTCAGTATGAAGAGAGCAATATATTCAAATAGCATAGGGCTTGGACAAAGCATTATTTCCATGTGGGCTGGAAACGAAAAAGTTTGAAAAGGTCAGGAGTGCTCTTGCGGGTGGCACTAAGAATAGAAGAAAAATACAAGCCTGGGTTTGAGATCGAGTCAAGGGGCCATGTAAAGAAGAAAGCTAGCTGGAGTTTCTTTCTGAAGAACTTCAAGGTTGCATACTTGCACGCAAAAAGTAATGGAGAATGGCATGAAATTGCAAGGGAATGATTGTAGTGTTAATACAGATGCAGTTATGTACTCCTGAAACTCCCTGAGCTAATTAATTGTACCATTTTCTATTTTTCTGATCCTCATTTATTTACGTTAATCCTCTCTTAAACAGAGAAGGAATCGCATTACAAAATTCTAAATTATAGGAAATACACACAAATGTGCTAACATGTACTGTGTAACAATAAACAAAAAAACATCACCACACCCTAACAAACAAGCAATCAAAATCGAGAGTAATGAAAACTTCAACTGCACTCCGCTGATATGTGGCTCCCAATCTCAGCATCTTGACTTGTAGCTTTGGAGAGTCTGCCTAATCAACATAGGACTCTAACACCATAAGAAGTGCTGACTGACGTTGACGTAATACCAACATGCTAGATTATACACTATACGCACTGGGCCAAAGAGAGATTGGCCACGCAAGTTACCAGGGCCGTCTTAGATAGGTGGGTGTACTGGGTGATATGAGTGCCTGCACAGGGCTTCAATTTGTTTGGAAACTACACAAAAGCAGGTCCAATATATTTTTTAGTAAGTTCATTACTTCATTTTATACTAGGCCTATATACTTTGCATTAAGCTCAATCTTAATAGATATTGTGTGTGTTTGGTAGCATAAGTCCCTACCTTCTAGCTTTTGTACTATTTAAAAAGTGTCTAAAAGTTCATAGTTGTATATTTGACACAACAATTTTTAAGATTATTTTTACATTTAAAATCCTTTTTGAAGAACAGATCAGTGGCCACTAAACCATTCCTTGAAATTTATGAAGGATTGAAATAGATTCAGGTAGGGTCCACTCCCACCAATCATAGGAACAGGTTTGTTGGTGGAGTTTCCAGAAACAATGTCAACTCAATGTTTAGGGAAAACGTTCGAGGAAAAATTACAAGAAGTAGGCTAGAGGCGCAAAACAGAGAGGCAGAAGGTGGTGAAGAATAAGCAAGAAAGAAATAGTTTCCTATGTAATTAAGTAGTGGTTTCCCTTCATGCAGTAGAAGGTAGTTTCTTATTCTTTTATAGGAGTTCTTGTTCCCTTTTGAACAATAATACACATTGTTCTCCATTCTCGAGCTAATTCCTTTGCTTTTTTTAACTTATTCCCTTAGATTAGGTCATTAGGAGCTGTTGTATCAGTTATACATTGGACCGAGATATTTTAAACACACACTGTAGTTCTACAAAGGAGACACTCAAGTACATGTGATAACAAAATATATCCAAAACTGTGTCTTGTGCTGTGCTGTTACCTGAAACTTATAATCGGAGCCCCTGGCCGGTCATCAGGAGAAGGAAATTCAAACTTGTAACTGCGAATAGAAAATGTACGAAACCATTATTTGTACTTCACTGAAGAAGGTTAGAACTGCAGAGGACTAAATGGATACTTTTTTAGGACAAAATGCTTACTCAGGGTCATTGAAAACTTCATCTACATGACCCATCCTATCAAGCGCCTGTCAAAACGAACAATGTAACCAAGAACTTTCAACTGATAATAGAAGATCAGTCACTAGCAACCATAACTAGATGCATATTAGTTATTTAGCATTAGTACATGATTATAATACATGCTATTAAAATAAAAGATCTTCAAGGAAAACAGCACAGGTTGTAGTTATTTGGCATTAATATTGTACTGTCGCCTATGAAGTCACCATTTTATGCTTTCAATTATACCCTTCTTGGCCTTCTATCATCTCAAAATGGGAAAATTACCCATTGAAGTTAGGTCATAATTTCAAGTTCAAACTTTTGTTTTTAAAAGTCAATCAACTACCCCTTGAGTTTTGACTGTTTTCACTGTTTACCCCTCAGGCTTAAATTTATCTCATTTAGATTTGTATATCAGTTCAAATCTGATTAAGATTGCCTAAAGTTTCTCCTATTACGGCTAGTTGATGTTCAAAACAATTCACCATCATGATTCATGATCATTAGTCATAGTTGGAAAAGAAGTTATTGCATCTTCTTTGCTACTAGCAAAAGAAATTCATTGAGATTTTATAATAGCATTTTTTTAGAATAGCAATGAAAATATAAAAAAAGATGTCAACTACTCCGTATGACTTAAAATTATGATGATGAATTGTTTTCACTTTTAAGAGCAAAGAAATTAGATAGAATTCATTATATTTGACACTAACATGAAGTTAAATTAGATAAATATTGATTGGAGGGGTAAACCGTGAGAATGATGAAAACTCGAGGGGTGAGTAATTGACTTTTGAAACCACAAAGTTATGACCAAACTTCAAGGGTATTAGCAAATTTCTGTCAAAATGTACGAAACTGGTTTTCCAATTCAAACCTATTAAAGGCCCGGATAATGGCATTTTAAGTATACCATCCACTGCAAGAAAAATAATTTCCACAAGACTTTGTAGATTCCACAAACATTCGTGCTGTAATACAAGGTGAGTAGGTCACTATGTCGTAAACAGTAATTTCAAGTAAACAATCTGAAAATATAAGAAGATACTCACTCAGTCCCAATTTGTAAGATATGTTTCCTATTTACTTGGTCAACAGTTCAACACAAATCACTCTTAATCACTTACTTTATAGATCAAATTTTTATCAAATTTGATTCTGTTTTTTGCGACTTTGTACAGCTTTTAATGTAGTTTCTGAATATGTAATTTTTTTTCTAAAAATAATTTTTGAGTGCGGACAGGGATCCGTTTGCTTTATCGTTGGTCAAACATCGTAAACCGTAAAGTATCTTACAAAGTGGGACGGAGGGAGTAATATTTTTTGAAGAGCTGAAAGGTACCTTGATTCTTGATTGAACAAGGGATGCACGCTTTGCATTGTAGCGGAACTTATCAATGAATGTCTGTAATAAGTTAAGAAAAAAAGATTCAAGTTAATAACAATGAAGTAGACAATAGCCGCACAATGCACTTTGTTTGTGTGTTCGTTTGTGTTTGTATATCTCTGTTTGTATATCTCGCTCCTGTGGCATTTGAGTAACGGGACGGATTTGGCAATACTATTACACATGTACTGATGTACATATAGAGGAAATGAAATTCTACACATTTTGACCACAAGCCAGATATGTAGAAAGTAAGTATACCTGCATGTGGGCCCTGGAACGTTCATTTGCCTCGAATGCTTTATGTTGGTTTTTAAGCTGTTCTTCTCTAGTTCTCTCGAATGTATCATAGTTTCCTTTATAGGTAATGAGTTTCCTATTTTGAAGATGAATAATGTCTGTGACAACCTGAAGTAGATAATGCCGGTTATATGGATGTTTCAAGGAGACACCGGGGAAAAAACAAGTCAGCTGAAATATATATACATATCAAACAAAAACCATGCTGACACTAAGCATGTATAGCAAAGGAGAAAAAGGCATACAGTGTTCAAAAATTCTCTAGCATGAGAAACTACTATAAATGTCTTCGGCCACTTCACCAGGTAAGTCTCAAGCCACAGGACAGCATGAAGATCAAGATGATTCTGCCATGACAAAAGTGAAAGCTTGTAAAGTTTGTATATGATATTTTAGTGCACATACTACATAATAGTTTTCAACTGAATACAACAAACCGTTGGTTCATCAAGCAGTAGTAAGTCAGGTTCAATAAACAATGCTCGTGCAAGTGCTATTCTCATCCTCCATCCTCCCGAAAATGTTTTTGTCGCCCTCTTTTGCATTTCTGTGGAAAAACTGAGGCCCTGAAAATGTAATGATCTTATGATCACGAACCAGAACTGACTACACCGAGTACATAGAAAAATAATAGTTCAACTCTATGTAGTTAACTCGGGATTACTCGGTGATTACTCGGCCTTGTATTAATTAGATTTAATGACGTAAATGCCGGAGATTATAGAAATATACCAGTCTTAAATTATCTTAAAATGCATCGAAATGAATAAAATGATAGAAATGCTAATGGAGTAGCAAAAGTCATAAACATTCTAAGTGTTCAAGAAAATCAATCATCTAATAATATGGTAATATCTATGTTCACTCCCCATGTCCATCCTATTCATCTGATTTTCTCTTAAGTGTAGTATGAGCATATTGAGCACCATTAGGGAGTGTTTGCAACTGCTTCTGCTTAAAAAAAAGTACTTTTGGAGATGTAAGAAAAAAGTGATTAGTAGTAAAAGTTGATAGTGTTTGAGAAAAAAGTGATTTTGAAAAGTAAAAGTTGGTAGTGTTTGGTAAAATAAGTGCTTTTTGTGTAATAGAAAAGGGAAAACACTTTTCACACGCAAGCCGAGAAAAAGTAAAAATTGGTAGTTTTTGGTAAATAAGTGCTTTTCTTAAGCCAAAAGCTCAGAAGTGCTTTTTTTAAGTTGTTGCAAACACTCCCTTAGAAGCATCAACAGAGTTCATGGTTGTCAATTAGATGATGTGTGGTAGTGTACTAGTGCGTATCAATCAATGATGTGCCATAGTAAACAATCAATATAGTGATATTAATTAATAAGTTTCGTAGTATGGAGTATAATATATATATATAGTCATTCTAGTGAAAAGAATTTATTTATATCAAAATATATGTGTGTATCAATATTAAACAATCAGGACGGTGATAGTTTAAGAATGCTAAAAAGAACATATGGCGAAGAAGGATGGGAGGGTGGAAGAAGAAGATGAAGAAGAAACAAGAGAGGGGAGAGGGGAAGATACGAGAAAGAAGATGACAACTTATTGAGAAATCGTAGTCACAGCTCTAGGGGGGGTAGTAGATGTCAGAAACTCCGTTTAACCCAGGTTTTGTAACTTAATTTTTCAATTTTATAAGGGGGGGCAAGTTAGACTGAGTGCTCGGCGAGTTGAAAACTTCACTGAGTTGAGAAACTTGCCGAGTACTCGGCGAGTAACTCGGAAATAAAACACGGATCGAGTTAGGTAGCTACTCGACAAGGCCAATACGTGAGTTGCGAGTACTCGCCAAGTACTCACCGAGTAGATAACCCAGGTACTTCAACTTTTCTCATGAAACACACCATATACAGATAAATGCAATTATTCATCATTCAGATGTATGATTTATCAAACCCATTGTACTGGTAAACCGATTAAAACTGGTATCCCTTTCTTATAGTGGTTCTGTTTCTTAGAAAGGACAAGCCCTTATGCACTTGAAGTTCTAAAAAAAATGCACAAATAGCATGATAAGCAGTAAAGATTCATAGTTTCATACGCAATAAATTCAGATTCATACGCAATAAATTCAGATAACGCATTCATGTGGTAATAAAAACTGACCGCAAGGATGGATGCTGCACGTGACTCAGCAGAGTAAGCATCGATAAGCTCAAGCCTTTTGTATATCTCCTCAAGCCTTTGTGCAATAGCATTTTTTTCTGATTCCCCATTGCTCTTTCCAACTTCACCTTCTAGATCGATATCTCTCTAGAAACCAGTGATGCATTTCAAATGTAGAAATGGGTGAGCCGGGCAATTAAGAAAAGAGCATGATAGTATAAATAAAAGTGGAACACTATAATGTGTGATAAAATGCGCAATTAGGAAAATTATATTTTCCACCTGTAACTCAAGTAGCCGACTTTCTTCTTCCAATAGTCGGGTTCTTTCAGCATCACAATTAAGGACACATTGCAAAACTGAAGTATCATCACCAGCAACCTCCTGCTCCACGTGTAATATCTGACAGTTCCTAGGAATACCATCTATGGCATGCATAGCCATGTACCTAAGGAATGTTGTTTTTCCAGTTCCATTGCGTCCAACTAGCCCTACATGTTTAGAGCAAAATCTGAAGTGACGTACATATCACATGATTGCGGAAGTGCAACAGGCAAAATAAAACCATTTTGATTGCTAAAAGAAACAACATTTCATCTCGATTGGCAAAGAGACCATGCAAATGATGAAATGAGAAGCCACGCTATATTCAGCATAGCCCATTTAGAGACCAAACTGGCCTTATTTTTTGAAGCACGTTTCATCACAACGCAAAAGGATTAAATGATTTATATCAATTTATACAGACTTTTCCTGGCGATTCGAGCCTTCTTTTCGTCCAAACATAGGAAGGGGGTTGGCTTTCCTTCGCAACAAGGTAGTCATAGGGAACATGTGGCTAGATTGAATCCTTCTTTTATTTCAATATGCAGCTCCGCAAGCAAGAAGGCACAGAACCTAATAGGATCTAAATAATTGTTGAGGATGTGTGCACAACTGCGCATCACTCGTCATCATAGGAAGGAGGTAAGGTGTTGTAACTTGTAAGTACTTCATGCACTTCGCCCATGGCAGACACGAGATTTTTCATACTATTACGAACATAGTAAGTTGATAAATATTAACAATAGTGTTTTAAAAAAATCAAATATTCACTATAATTATATATATAACTCTCAACCTCTGACATATTTCAGTTTATTTATTTCATGCATATAAAAATTCATAGGTGCACGTGACGGCCAACAGTATCACTTAGTCACATCACATGATCGGTAGTTTATTACAATTAATAGACGACAGCCAACATGGATCGATTCATGTTAGTCGACCCCAAAATATTTTGGGAATAAGGCTTGGATGTTGTTGTGTGACAACCAATGCAGCACAAAAAAAAAACTCATAATAAGATCCAGAGGCTAAACTAAATAACTTGACTGGTTGAAATTGAAGAGAATAATTGTTAAGATGGTGTAGACTTTTTTACTCAGTTTGCCCTAACTTTATTTTGTTGACAATTTTGTGGTTTGATTCTTTAGCAAGATCAACAACAACCAAGTATTATTATAAAAGTGTTTGGGATCGGCTAACATGAATCAACATGATATTAGAGAAAAAAAAAATAGATAGAGAAAGAGGGAGAAAAACAATATAAGGATCAACCCTCCACACTTATGTTCTCCCTCCTCTTCACCGTCTCTAAAGTCAAACTCTCATCTAACCAAAGTCTCTGAAGTCAAACTCTCATCTAACCAAAGTCGTATCATATGGAGTATCATTTTTTACCACTCTAATCCATGTCTGTCTAGGTCGTTCCCTCTCCTCTCTCCCTCCTCTCAATCTGTCTAAGAAGTGCATCACACTGTCTACTACACACATGACCAAGCCACCACCACAGCAGAGACTCTTGCATCTTACACTCAATAGGTGTTATTCCACTTCTTTCAGATTATTTTTTAGGATCGCATAAAAAAATTGAACCAACTGTGTAAGGATGTTTCCTTATGGACTGAAATTTGGTGGTCTAGTCTGATCTTGTCTGGTCTGAATTGGTCTGATCTGAACTGGTCTGTCTGATAAACGTAAACGTCTGATAAACGGTGTATTTTATAACTACGGAAGTCTGGTCTGGTCAGGTCTGATCTGGGACTGAAAACAGCCCAAAAGAAAACATCTTAAATACGTTATTTGTTTATACCTATTTCTTAAAAATATGCTTTGGGAGGTAGCAGCCCACTTGTCCCAAATTTATAAATACTTGGTCCAGCTTTGGGTGAGATAAACATTTGGTCCAGCTTTATACCTATTTAAAAAAGAAATATGAACTCACCGTAGTGTCGTCCAAATGAAAGTGTCACAGTTCCATCAGTGATGAGATCACGGCCACCAACTGATATGTTGAAATTCTCCATATGTATATCCTTGATTGCTGCCCCATCCACAACGTCATGGTTTACACAAATAGCAGGCATCCCGGCTCTGACAGCTTCCATCTCTCTTAAATGATCTTCATACTGTGCCTGCAAAGCCATAAAAATGCTTATATGCAGATAGAAAATGGCAAAAAACATGATATGTTCACCACATAGAAAGACGCCATAGTTTGCAATATAATTGACATGCCTTCTCTTCAGGATATTTGTAATAAAGCGAGATTGGTCACATTGGAAAATTGTTTTCCTACATCAAATTTAAACACCCAAATTAAATTATACAGGAAAAGGCATCAGCGATCGCATACCATGAGGACTACGTCCCAATCACGAGTGGATCTCAACCGTCTAGATTGACCAATTTGGGTATCTTGGGTGATTTTCTTTGTATGTACTTTGGGACGGGTTAATGCTTTCTTTAAGTTCCGTTTCGTTGGTTTTTTGTTTTTGTTTTCCTTTTGTTTCTTCTTGTGTACTTTACTTTCTCCTTTTTTAATAAAAAAAAAATCCCGCCCAAAAAAAGAAAAGAAAAAAAAAAAGAAAAAAGAAAAAAAAGAGAAAAAAATGAGTAAATGAACGATTAAAACTGGCAAATAATATAACAAAGTATATTCACCACAGATAATCATCAGCATTAACAAATGATTAAAACACTATTAATATTTCAAAGAGTATCAGTTTTACATAATATAAAGCACATATCCATAAAAAAAATTACCTCTCTTTGTCGCTCCTCTTTTCTCTTCCTCCTCTCAATCTTAATTTTGTCACGCTCAGTCAGCAGAGGGCCATCAGTTGGCTCGGGCTTCTTTTTAGGAGCTTCCTCTTCATCCATCCCATCAAACATTCTCAGTGGTGCTTTCAAGCTTCTTACAGAAGGTTTTGGTTTCACCAACCCATGCTTCTCGAGTTTTTCAGACAATTTGCTACATACCTGGCATACAATATCCAATTAATGTAACTTAACAAAAACATGAGTATTTTTAATACTTCTGAGCTGCTATACTTCATAGTACCTCTTCCTCTAAAGTACCAGGATGATAAACTTTTTGTATGCCTAATCATTTTTTTTAAATAGTATGCCTAATCATTTTAAAATATAAATTAAACGTTTTCACTTTCCATTCCTTCTTTCTCCATACTAATACCTTCTTATTATAAGCAAATACAGGTAACACTAGTTTCCTCCTAGTAACCAGGCAAGAGAGCTAGATGTAGTAGCCCTTTTTTCTACTCCGTATTAAGTACTACAGGGTAAAAGATTGTAAATTTACAGAATAGTTAGGATACTCTACACATAAAAAAGAGAGTACATAATTAGATTGATTTCTCAAACAACTCATGCCCCAAAGCTCATCTGACTGAGAAATGACATTCCAAATTTCTATTGATTCATTTTTATGTTTCTCTGCATATATGTCATTTTGTCAAGTACAACTGCAGTTATTTCACAAGGAAAAACACAATGGACATACTTAATGCTTTTGTACAAATCAAATCCATATAAACACAGCCCAAAATACAAAGCACTTTTACATTCAAGCAAAACCTAATAATAAATTTGATAACTGATCTCTAAGGCGTACCCTGCGACATTCAGAGTAGTCATAGACGCAATCGGATTCGACGAGGAGGTCGCCGATGGCTTCGAAAGCACCGTCTCCATCGACGCCGAAGTCGAAATCCTCGTCAGCAAGTACGTTGATGATGTAGTCGACAATTGGCTGGTCCACGTCTTGTAGCCGCCCGCCTAGGACCTCATGCATGACAGAAGTAGTCACCTCGGCCATCAGTCCAGCAGTGGAGGAGTTTCAGCTGTTAAGCTCCAGAAAAGAAAAAGGTATGCTATACTGCTATGCTGTTATAATTAAAAGACTAAAACAGAGGAGTTTCCCAAGAAGAAGAAGAAAAGAGGGTTGCAGTCTACTCACTGGACATGATAATTGATAACAAGTTAACTACCTCCATTTTTTAATTGCAAATTTTAGTACTAGTATATCCTTATGAGTCATATATCTACATTAATGTATATTGAGATTTTTTTGAAAGTATTATTGAATTGTCTTGTTACAATTTTTCAAAAACTGGATCTTTTATTTTTACTAGTAAACTCACACGTGCGATGCACGGTTTGGGAATTTTCCTTTCAAGTTTATGTGTGCTTAGTAATTCAAATCATACTGTCAGCTGATGACACCATCTGTCTTCATGCAATACTGATATACATTAAAGCATTAAACAACACACACTTATAATACTATGGTCAAAATGAGAGTACTAAGCATTACTTAAAAGATCAAAAACATCCAACAAATACATTGAAACCATAACATTGTAAATATGCATTCAATGTAAATCTAAATATTGGTGAACACTTCTTTGAATTCAACATTCTGAGTCTTGTCAGTGGTTCCCTCATCTTCATAAATAATTAGAATTTTCAAACCACAACAATTGGTAACTCTTGATATTGCAACATACAACTGTCTGTGGATGAATACCGATTTTTTCAACAACAACCCAACACGGGACAAAGATTGACCTTGACTTTTATTTATAGTTATAGCATATGAAGTCATAACATGATATTGTCGTCTATGAAATTTGAAAGGCAAGTTGACACCGGATGGCGTCAAGGACAATCTAGGAATTGATATTTTTTGTGCATCACTCACACCAGTTAAAATTTTCCCCTCCAAAACATGATCACCGAGCCTCGTTAGAATAAGATGTGCCCCGTTCCACAATCCCGTTGAGTGATCGATATTTCACAAAAGCATCACCGGGGTCCCTACTTTTAACGTCGACTCATTATTCAGTACACCAGACAATTTTATACTATTCAAGAACTCAGGTGTGTTTAGTTCCACCATTAGATCGGTCGTAGAATCTACCTTAGAAACACTATCAGAACTCAAATATGTTCTTGAAACTTCACCAACTTTATAAGTCGTCATATAGTCATTAACAGCTTCAACCACAGCCAGTGTCGGTGCCAAAATGGCATGGTTGCGCAAACAACTCATATCACCCGCAGATTCACCATATTCCGGAAATATGCTTTCAACAATCGCAGCTATATGATCTCTCATCTGTGCGTATCAATAGATCTTAAGGAATAGTAATACGAACATGACCATCATTACTTTCACATGCAACACTATCACCAATGTTGGCAATTTAATCTGAAAAGACCTTCAAATCGTAAGAATATGATGGAAGCCATGTTCTGCAGGCACATATTTTTTGTCAAACGAAGGACTGCGCATTCTGACCACAGATATGATGAAATAATTGTCAAATTGACTACATCATGTCTACTCCCATGAGGTATCACCGGCAACACCTGCCGAAAATCAAAGGTTTATATAAATTAATTGAAGGTAACTTCTTTATAATGACTAAGTAATAATGTAACTATAATTTACATGAATTTCATTTTAGACGAATTGTCTTTCTAAATAGGTAAAATAAGGGAGTAAATATATGAAAGTGTGTTATGTCATTCTTGAATTATACTTGAATCTAAATTTGTGAGAAAATGTTCAAATAGGTGCTTCTGTCACGCCCCGGACCTACCGGACACGTCAACAACCCGCCGTACAGTACGAATAGTCAACCGCAGTCCAACTCATCCATACTATACTAGGCGTCTTGAATATCATTCACAATAGTACATCCATAAACAAACATAATGTAAAATGATCATTTAAATCAGCGGAAACGTTTAATACAAGTGTTTATGCCACACTTCGGCAAACATGGGCGTACAAGCCCCAAATAATTATTCAAAATAATATCCATGAGCATTAATTTAATGTTTTAAAAATAGAACGGAGGAAGCACGAACCACGTCTTCTCTCCCTGAGCTCCCCGAAGCAACGGGTGATGGTAGCAAGCTTTACTCCCTACCTGAAACTGTGAGGTGGCCTCCCCCGTGAAGGGGAGGTCAGTACTTGGAAGCATTTGACAAGTACAATGACAACTATACTAAGTATAATCAATGTTTCAACTTCTAAGACCCTCAAAATAGAGTGATATCATAGTATAAAGAATAATTTATATTTCCCACTTATTATCTCTATAATAAGTAAATTTATTTATTTGTCGGCACACGGCCCATTTCATATATTTCATTATACCCGTCGTTAGCACGACACCGCCCGTAGGTCTTATCATCCTTTACGAGACTTGTCACCGCTCTCCGAGGCCTCACCGGGCTCTCGGGCCGGAGTCCAACATCCCGCCCCTGAACTCATACCCATCGTCCCGTAGGAAGGTAAGGTCCATTCGGGGTCCTATCTTATGTGTTACCGCTGTCGGGAGCCTCGTAAGGTCTCCGGTTCGGATTCCACCCTAACCCGTGATCACGATGTAAGTCCATGCTATCCAACCCCGCTCTCTAGAGTCGGGAAGGGCCATGGTCCTTACTAATTACCAATACTCTATCGGCTAATCCTTAAAGACTACCGAATACACCCGTAGGCCAATCCTATTCCTAGGATCAATTTATTATTCTCTTTATCTTGGGTATCCCTTAAGGCCTACCCCTAGCATCACTTATCCACATTAGTATCTCTTAAGACTACTTAAGGCTCAACAATTTACAATCCAAACCTTGGATCAATTCTAACATATTTCATTCCAAAACCCCGACTAATATCATAATACTAGTCGGATAAATTCCAACAAAACTCATTTTCAATTCATAGCCATATAGACAATTTCCAAACTAATTTTCCATTGAAAATATAGTTCATATCAATATACAAAATATAACCTTTATCACTCATATATCCTTATATGAAGTTATAGTTATATTTCAACACAATATTTATAACTAATCCCTTCATCAAGCCAATATGCTCATATTACATAATCATACACAATTTATCCTTAAATTTGTATATTATGCTCCTTTGTTCATTGACAACAATATTTTCATTTAGGCATTATTAATCATTAATAATCCATGAAAATCACATTTATTTACTTTAGGTAATCCTACGAAATTAACCCAAAGATTATAAGCAATATAGTCAGCCATCCTCACCTTACGAAGTGCTGAAATAGTTGCCTTTGTTAAGCCTTTCGATCAATCCCCGTTCTAAACCGATTAGAAGTGGAAATCCTGACCAGCAGACGAAAGCCGGGCGGCTTTTGTCAAAGGTGGGCGGCTTTCGTGGTCTGCAGCTACGAACAGCTTCCTTTAAGTGGCGGTTTCCGGCGATTTCAACTCCTATCGATTCCACGACTCTTCTAAGTTAAATACCACCACTTTATAACATTATTCTACACTTTTAAACGTGTAGAACTTCATGTTTAATCCACCATATGATTTATTAAAAATCATACAAAATAATACTAGTTAGCTCATACTAGTTGGATTCTTACATCAAATCCTAGCCCTTTTTGTTCTTGGATTCCCTTTTCTTCTTGGTTCCTCAAGCTCCAGAATATCTTGAGAGCTCCTCAAGTCCTCTCCCTCTTCCTCTCTTGTGTGGATGGCTCGAATGATTGGGATGGAGTGGGGGAGTGGTTTTACTCACAACTCAATCACTCATGTGATGAGTCCAAAAGGGAATTAATGGGTGGGTGTGGTTTTTGTCTCAATGAGACTTCCTCATGCACGCCCCTACCCCTTAGCTTGTCAATCTGGGTACCTAAAAACATGGGGTGGTCCCCCCTTTATGTGGAGGTCATCCCATTATGTCTCGGTGTGTACAATCGGCCCCGAAAGTTGTATTCCTCGGACTGTTTTAACTATATTTTTTTTTATCGGGCCAAATAAAACATATCACGCGTTCCTAATAATCATGGGCCTTTAGAGGAGATGTATGTTCCCCAACATTAATTTAGGAGTCCCCGAAATTCATTTCGGGCCGTTATCCGATAAATTACCAATACCGATAATTGGGCCTCGTTTGACCAACAGGTCAACTCCATGCCCTTTCCATGGCCCATCTAAATATTTGGGAGTCCATTTCCATTATTAGGGACCCGATAAATAATTTAATTAATCACGCATTAATTAAATATACCACTCCGTTACACGATTTTATTCGTTAGGAAATTCAATTACATATCAAATTTTGAATTCAAGTACATCCGGGTGCGGTGTCACAGCTTCTACTATTTCTAATATTCAATTATGGTCTGATCTTGTTTGTTTAAGTTTGGTTTGGTCTGAGACTGAAATAAGTCTAAGTATAAACATGTAAAATAATATGGTGACTCTGCATTTATACGAATTGTATTTTTTACACGAATTGCCCGGGTACATTGGCAAATCAGGGGGGTGTGCAAATATGTGAAAGTGTGTTATGTCTATTAATTAATTTATCTATTTATCTACCTCCGTTCCTTCAAAACCCATTATAAATCTATTAATAAATATATTATCTATTTATCTATTATACCCATTATAAATCTTTTATGGCTAAATAGACTAACGCTCCTTTAATTATCCACCTCTGTTCCTTCAAAACCCATTATAAATCTTTGTTGAATTCAGTCAATTTAGCCATAAAAGCAAGTTTGACTTAGTAGATTATGACAACAGCATAATGCAAAATACGAAATAAGAAGTTATGTGCTTTATAATAAAGTTAGCATATAAGTCAAAAAATATACGAAGTAAGTCATTAAAGAAGCTCTGAACCAAATACTGAATCAAGAATAACAATGAGAATACACACACTAAAGGATTGAAAAAATATAATTTCGCAATGATCCAATAAGCGCAATAATCTTTCAGGTCCTGAATTGATAAAATTCTTTTTTTTTAATTTACATATTATTTGGTTTTATTAAACTAATAAATTTTGTGAAGAAAAATCTATCTTAATAAAGGTAAATCTTTAACTTTTTGTATACTTCCCCACCCAGATCTTCAGAAATGATAAAGGCAAATCTTTAACTTTTTATTTAATTCGTATTATCATTGTTTATGCCAGGAATCTCTTCTTATGCCTCTATGAATGAAT